TTCCCCTTGTCCGTCTGATAGCTGATAACTCCACTGTACTCCCATTGCACAGTGACTTATAAATTATTTATGACGACTGCAGTTGGCTGGTCTTGCCGTGATTTGGCAAACAAAATCTGTTCAAATGCAAAGTAAATCTTAAAGAGAAAGGAGGACTTATAAACTAAACTACGTAAACATGTATTTTTCCCCAAAGAAAAAGTATTAACAAGGCTTATTTTTGAGTGGTGGGATTATGCATAATTTTTATATTCTTTAATATTTTTCAAATTTTCTACAATGACTATATACCACTTAAAAGAAATTATCTAAAAACAAATAATTGTTCAATGGATGCTAATAACAGCCAGGGTGAGAACAACCTAAATGTCCATCAACTGATGAATGCATAAATGGAATGTGGTATAGCCACACAGTGAAATAACATTCAGCAGGAAAAAGCGACAAAGTACTGATATGTGCTACAACATGGATGAACCAAAAACATTTTGCTAAGTGAAAGAAGCCAGTCACAAAGGACCACATATTGTATGACTCCATTTATAGGAAATGCCCAGAATACGCAAATCTACAGAAACACAACAAAGATTAGTGGTTGCCTAGATATGGTAATGGGAGGAGTTGGGGGCTGACAACTGAGGGGTCAGGGCTTTCTTTGGGGGATGATGAAAAAGTTTTAAAATTGACTGTGATGATGGTTGCACAACTCTGTGAATATACTAAAAGCCACTGAGTTGGGTGTTTTAAATGTGAGAATTGTGTGGTGTGTGCATTATATCTCAGTAGAGACGTTAAACAAACAAACAAACCTAGAAGGCTCTCAAGGAGCTGAGGGTGGATCCGAAATATTCTCTGATTCAAATGTCCTGACAGTTCCCTGTGTCCATTTCATTCTTTATGTCCTTCCATCTTAACTTTAAATTTTCTATTTACTCAGTTGTTAGGTGAGAAGGAAACATCTAAAAGTAACATTACAGGGAGGGAACCCCACTTTCTTGCTTACTTTATAAAGGTAATAAAAAGGAGAAGGATGAAGAGAGGACAGCAAAAGTGACAATGACATAGAGAAAAGGGACAGTGACCTGAGACAGTGGTAATAGACAAGCAGGCTTGTTAATGAAAGAACATAAGACTCGGAAGACTACATTCCAGAAGTAAGACACCAGAGGGGAAAGTGAAAGAAGTGGATTTAAAATAAGGAATAACTGGTTTGATAAGAAGGAAGGAGAGTGGCGATGTAGGAAGGAGACAGAGAGGTGGGAGCTGTTTTTTGTAAAATATAGCAAAAATACGAAATGAATGTGAAATGAATGTGTTCAGTTTAAGGAACAACATTAAAATGAACAGTAGTGTACTCATTATCTGAGCCCAGAAATAGAATATTACCAATACCCGAGAAGCTACCTGTCTATTTCTCTCTAACTCTGTGATTCCTTTCCCCACCCCACAAAGTAAAAACTACTTTAAACATTATTACTCATTCCCTTGTTTTATTATTCCTAATATCCGCATCTCTTTGTCTAAATCAGGGGTTAAAAAACTACACTCCACAGGCCAAATAGGACCCGCCACGTTTTTGTTAGGGTATGGCCCTACGGATGAACATTTGTGATCAACTTGATGACAGAGAATGTTAATTTCGAACACTAATTAGGTGAAACATTATCTCCGTGTTAGCGATTGAATTGTGTCTCCCCAGAATATATGGGGAAGTCCTAACCTTCAGTACATCAGAATGTGATCTTAATTTGGAAATAGGATGTTGCAGATGTAGTTACTCAAGATGAAGTCATATTGGAGTAGGGTGGGCCCTTAGTCCAGTCTGACTATTGTCCTTACAAAAGGGAAGACAGTGTGAAGACAGCCACATAGGGAGAACTCCATGTGATGAGGGAGGCAGAGATTGAAGGGGATGCAGCTGCAAGCCAAGGGATGCCAAGGATTGCTGGCCACCAGCAGAAGCAAGGAAGAAGCAAGGAAAGATTCTACCCAGAATTTCAGAAGCTCTGCTGACCCCTTGATTTCGGAATCTAGCTTCCAGAACTATAAGAATCAATTTCTGTTTTAAACTACCCAGCTAGTGATACTTTGTTACAGCAGCCCTAGGAAACTACTATACTATCACCTCCCCTCCAAAAATAGATTCCATTTCTCTCATTAGTAGACCCAAATTATAAAAAATTGTTCTCAATTACTTTGAATTTCAACAATAAAAAATATTATGGAAACTGGTTTTCTCTCATTATTTAAGTACCTACCTAATATCTCCAATTTTACCTCTTGGCCTACAAAGCCTAAAATATTTATTATCTGGCCCTTTACAGAAAAATGCTGCCTAGCCACATACATCATTTAGGTTTTGCCTATTTTAAACTTTATATAATAGACACAGTATTTGTTACTCTATGATTCATTTCTTTCACACACTGGAGATATATCCATGTTAGTGCAAGTAGCTACACTTATTTTATTTTCACCAGTATATAATATTCCACATAGGAACATATTATATTTATTCATTCTACTGTTTATGGACTTTTGGAGTGGTTCTCAGAGTTTTTTGTTGTTTGTTTTCTATTACGAACGACGCTGTTATAAATATTCTAGTGTATGTTTTCCAGTCACATGTTTAACAGTTTCTTTAGGGCATATATCTACTAGTGAAATAGAATTTTAAAAATGATCTGAATGTCTGAAAACAGACATTTTAATAATGTTGATTCTGCCGATCCATGAGCATGGTATGTTTTTCCATCTGTTTATGTCCTCTGCTATTTCCTTCCTCAGTGTTTCATAGCTGTCCCTGTAGAGGTCTTTCTTCCCCTTAGTTAAATATATTCCCAGGTATTTTATTTTCTTTGCTGCTATAGGAACGAACACTCATATGCTGCTGGTGGGACTGCAAACTAGTAAAACCTCTATGGAAAGTAGTATGGAGATACCTCAGAGAACTAAAAGTAGAACTATCATTTGATCCAGCAATCCCACCACTGGGAATTTACCCAGAGGAAAAAAAGACATTCTATAAAAAAGATAACTGGACTCAAATGTTTACAGCAGCACAATTCACATTTGCAAAGATGTGTAAACAAACCCAAGTGCCCATCAACATAAAAGGGGATTAATAAAATGTGGTATATGTATACCACAAAGTACTACTCAGCCATTACAAAAAAATGATGAACTAATATCTCTTGTATTAACCTGGATGGAACTGGAGACCATTCTTCTAAGTGAAGTATCACAAGAATGGAAAAACAAACACCACATGTACTGACCATTAAATTGGAACTAATCTAACAACACTTATGTGCACATATGGAAATAACATTCATCAGAAATCAAGCAGGTGGGAGGCAGAGGAGGGGATGGGTAAATTCACACCTAACAGGAGGAGGGGATGGGTAAATTCATAATCACATTATCTGGAATATAGGCACACTTATAACTTTGACTCAAACAGTACTGAAATTTAAAAAAAATAAATAAAGATATATCTATATAGCGAAAAAAAAAGAATTATAAAAAGGGCTGGGCATGGTGGCTCATGCCTGTAATCCTAACACACTGGGAGGCCGAGTTGGGAAGATCGCTTGAGGTCAGGAGTAAAGGATCAGCCTGAGCAAGAGTGAGACCACATTTCTACAAAAAAATAGTAAAAATAGGCAGGCCTGGTGGCACATGCCTGTACCACCAGGAGGACTGCTTGAGCACAGGAGTTTGAGGTTACAGTGAGCTATGATGACACCACTACATTCTAGCTGGGGCGAAAGAGTGAGACTGTCTCAA